ACACACACACACACACACACACACACACACACAAATAATAATAATAATAATAATAATAATAATAATAATAAATATTTTTAAGTTGCACCAATGAATTTTGAAATGAGACATCTGGTGCTGGAATTGCTTTTACAGCTCTCTCCTTTCCACTCTCGTACTCTTTTATACAACTCAAAAACCCTGCTATTTTCTCTTGCCCTGCTACTTTTCTCTTGCCCCACTCACACACTCAATAATACACATGTGTCCAGACCACCCTAACCAGCCAACACTCACTGATGCTGATAGTCTTGTTCCTGGGATATCTACAGAGAACATCAAAGTTTATCCCTCAAGCTAATCTACCCAGAACACATTGTTCTATATTCACCTTCCTTTGTAAATGATTCATTTGTATGCAGTAAATAACTGATGACTGAAAAAGCACTTGCACACTATAGCAGTAACTATGGTAATACATATCCTCATGTACAAGGTCTCCCAAATGTAAATAGAGTTCAATTCAGTCAGCACTTAAAATAATATAGTGGTTTCAAAAGTGTCTGTTGGGTTTCTTTATACATATCACAACTGCCCCCACTTTGCCTCTCCCCAGCCCAGAAAACAATTACTTTTACCTGCCCTCCCTAACATCTTGGGAAAGATTTGCATGTTGCAACTCATTTTTTCCTTGCCCACAAAAAAAATTATCACTACTTTTTCAAGCATTTCATTTGTTTCAATATTACTGATTGTAAATTCTAAAAAAATACATTTATAGTAATGAAGCAATTTATTACTAACTTAGTAACTGACTATTTGCATTAATTTATCTTCCCAGTCTCCTGAGGGAACTAATCCCAACCCTCAATATTCATTTCACAGCCACAGTTGGTGAAAGATTTCCGTGAATTGCGCAAGACATTAGAGACCATGGACATGTTCAGTGCCAACCTGGGGTTCTTCTTTCTCCACCTTGCCCAGATCTTGATTTTGGAAGTTTTAGCATGGCAAATACTACGTCATTTCGGCAGTGGCTGGACTGTTACCATACTCATTTCTTTTCTCCTTACAGTTTCTCAGGTAAGCAGGTAACCAGAGCTTAGGCAGTGGCCTCAGAGAGAGACTTGGGGGTTTTTTCATACTTGAATTTTTATTTGAAAACTTTATACATTCATTTTGATCATATTCACTTCCTACTATTCCCCCTCCTAGTCCACTCACAGCACCACTCATTGTGTCTTCCTGGCAATGTCATGTTCTCCTTTTCAAATGATTTTTTCTTATTTTTTTTATTAGTTCAAATTAAGAAGAAGCTTGCTTCACATGTCAATCTCTTCTCCCTCTCCCTCCCCTCTCCCTCCCCTTCCCCCAACCCTCATCCCCAACCCTCTACCTGCCTCCCACCCCATCCACCCTCCCCTCCCCAGGCAGGGTGGGGCCGTGGGCCTGGCCTAGGCCCTCCCTCATGTGTTCAGGTCAAGAGTGCATCCCTTCACGTGGGATGGGCTATCGAAGTCCCTTCTTACACCATGAAAAAATACTAATCCACTACCAGGAGCCCCCTAGAGTGCGGAGGCCTCCTATATTTTTAGCCCACTACATCCAATTAGTGCTGCTCATAATCACAAGTGTATGGGATCGTACACTGGGACACTTGGAACCTACCAGTGGCCACACCCACAAATTAAAGTGACTCTCCCTCTCCTAGAAGCCAGCAGCTTCTCAGCTAGGGTGGTGCCTCAGGAACCCCCTATGCTGGAATTTTTAACTTGTTTGATCTTGTATAAGTGGTAAGTACAGCTTCTATGTGTCATGTGTATAACAGACATGTCCTATCCAGAGGACGGCAGTGCATAGCTCTCTTCTTCATCCTCCATTTCCTACATTCTTTCTGTCTCCTGCACTGTTCTCTATTCCTCTTTCGATGAACCGGTGCACATCTTGACACACAATTCATGAGTTTTCACATCTTTCCAAAGTGTTGGACTCTGGTTCTCTCATCTATAAGATGAGGATAGCAATGACTATGGAATCATTCTGAAGAAGACTAAACATGTTCATCTGTAAACAAATGAGCACAGTACCTATCATACGGTAATAGTTAAATGAATGCCAGTTGATATTGTTCACCCTGTTTTATCCCACTCCTAATAACTAAAACTCTATCCTCAGCCATATAACATCCGTCTTTATCTTCTGTTGATTAATCCACCAACAATTACCCATACATCAGCCCATTAATTCTTCAAGGGGGAAAATGCATCTTAATATGTGACAATAAAAACCACAAGCACACCAGTATAAATGACATCAGCAACAGGCACTTAGAGCACTTTATAAATCTTTGTTGAGTTCTTTATGCATGTCTAAATGTGACCTCATATAAGCACAGGCTGTGTAGAAATATGAAGGGAAATTCACCTGCTCCCTGTCCTGGATTTAGGAGTCCTCCAGGACTGAGAGAACCCCTCAAAGGGATACTGCATGGTACAAAGGGGAAAGTACCAACAGTAAAAGGAAACATGTAATCCTGGAGCAAGGGACAATTAATCCTCAGGGAAACAACTCAGGAAGGTTTTCCAAAGAGTAATGTTTCCAGATCCTAGAATTTTTAAATTTATTTTACATTATTTATATTATTTACATTTATTTCTTGAAAAGTTAAACTTCTTTATTCTTCAGGAAGTAATTTTTGAAAACAAATATTCATTTGATGCTTAGCATAAACTTGACCCTTTGGAGTAAGTAAATTACACAAGAACCCCACGGGTTTGGCATTGTACCCCGGGCAGGGGGAATCAGACAGATCAGTGAGGGTCAGAACTACTTGCCCAGAGTTATTCAGCTTGTAAGTATTGAAGACTCCAAACTTATTAGACACTAAGGTCCATGCATGGTCTTCCTGCTCCACCACAGAAGACATCAAAGGGTGATAAAGAAAGTGTTCAGGACAGGAAAGGCCATTAGTGTATTTAGATGGAGATGGTGATGTGTGTAGGAAATTTAAAGTGAACTTGAATGGAGATCAGATGAGATCCCCCACTATTCTGTCAGGCTTATAAGTCTGCTTCTGGGCTTGATGATCCCTTCTTGATTTTGCAATTTCTCTAACTTCCTTTTCTTTCTTAGGCTCAAAGTTCATTTTTACAACATGATATAGGACACCTTTCCATGTTTAAGAAGTCCAAGTGGAACCACCTGATGCACAAATTTGTAATGTGTCACCTCAAGGTACAGGATATGAGGGAGTATGATGGAGATTGTGAATATAACTCCTTCAAGGCAAGGGTTGCTCTCTCTTGTATGTGCACTCAAAACAACAAAAGGTGTTGACATTCACAAATGAGTAAGATGTTTTTATAAGATAGGTTTTATAGGTTTATATATAATAATATTTAATATAACATTGCAAAATATACAGCAAAATCAAATTTTAAATTTTAAGAAGAAAGTGTTTAGTGTTCACTTTTTATGACTCTGATAAACTATTTGGCTCAGTTCACATCATCCTAAGGAATGTTCACAGAAGAATGTCTGTATACTTAAAAATCTAGATATGCCCTAGAAAATCATGAATGGGGATCTTCTTAGAAGGGATGCGAAGATTTTCCTTAGGGGAACTCAGCATATCTAGTTTATCCTGAAATGTTGAGGCTGAGTACATAAACAAAAAATGGAATGCTAAAGACATACAAAAACAAAGGTAAATAATAGTAAAGGAAGACAAAGTGGTTCTGTTAAAGAGAAGAATTATAAAAACAGACTTCTGCAGGAGCTGGAAAACTTGGCATTATTCTCTGAGAATGGAATGTGTTATCTTCTACAGTAACTAGGGAGTTCCTGTGCATAGCTCTTCAATAAGCTTCTGTGCCTGAATGAGTGAAAGAACAAATGAACAGAGATAATAGGACTGCAGTGTTAAGGGCCATTGTCTCTGGCAATGCTCAGTATGCCATCCCAAGACCATCATGTCTGTCTCTGGCCTTTTTTAACATTGAAAGATAAGCTAAATCTCTGCTTTTCTCTAATTATCTACATTTTTTACCATATACTCTGGCTCAGAAGGGAAAACATGCCCCCACCCACCCACCAAAACATCTCAAACCAATCCTTCCTTTCAGGCTAGAACTTCCTAGGAAAACATTCTCAGACACTGACTCAGGTTGCTTTTTCTTCCTTAGCACTTTCTTTCCTTAGTGGTTACTTTTCAAAGATAACCATTTGATTTCCCAGGTTGAAAATAAGCAACTAATTAATAGAGTGAAGAGAATGCTGGAGCTAAAATATTGGAGAGCAGTGAGCAACTGTCAAGGATAACAAATGATAAGGACTGGTGGGGTGGGCAGGAACTTAAAGGAAAGCTGCTAGGTGCCAAGTGCAGAGCTGTTTCCCTTGAGGCTATCCCATGTAAGACTCACAAAATGGATATTACAGCACCTCTATTTGTCAGATAAAGTAAGTCTTATAAGGGGTTGACTATTTAAAACAATGTCTACAAACTGGTTAAGTAGAGAGATTAATGCCACAGTATTAAATAAATGCAGACTAGAGTGGAGCTTCTCAATTTGAACTAGGATCTGGAGGAAATTTCGGAGCTTTGTAAAAGTGTGGCTAGACTACTAAAGGAGATCTGGAAGCTTTTCAGAAAATTCTAACCTAGAGCCAGCACTGAGAACTACCATTCCAACAACAAATCCTCTTACACTGAAACTTGGCCTCTCATGAACTGGGCCACTTTGAACAAGTTATTTATTGTTTGCAAACTTCACTGAATTTATTTCTTCACTTTATTTTCTTCACTGAAAAGAAAATAAAGACAGATAGATAAAAAGCTTCAACTTGTGGGATTATTGTCGGTTATATGTGATGTTTGTTTGCCATGTGTAACACAGTGTCTAGAAACAGTCATGTCAGCTGCTGCTAATATGAAGAACAATACTTTCACAATCAAAATGAGGATCCAGAATCAATATGAAAAAAGTTTGAATATGATAGTACTAAGTAGCCTGTAAGTATAACTGCCATTGGCTTACAGAAATAATCTACTTTTAGCCACTGTCTCTCTCATTCAGCAGATGGAGCCATGACTAGACTAAGTAACAGAGCTCGACTTACATTCCTTTAGAGACATATCTGTAGCTCAGAAGGTAATTGTCACATTATATGACAAGATTCATTTAATGAGAGAATTCCTAGAGGCAAGTTCTTCCACACCTGTATCCACCATTGCTAAGTGGATAAGTTCTCTGACTTCACTCCAAAATATTATGAATATAGGCTTTTTTCTGTCACTATTATGAGAGTCAGGTAGTGAAGCTGTATGTGTCCCTCCCCTATGCTGAAGAGACACAGGAATCAAAAGTCACTTGCCCTCAAGGTAATTGGCAGTTGCTTTGGTATCAACTATGTGAAATTTTCCAGTGAGTTCCACCCTTGCTGACTTTTTTAAAGTCAATGTTTACCCACTAATCCTAATTTACACATAGGTCTTTCTATGCTGTGTCTATAAAAAAGGAGTTTCATGATTTGAAGTGTATATATACATATAACTTTGATGACTCCTGACTTGAATGAGAAAATGGGAAGTGGCTCTAAAAGCAGAGCCAGCATATTTTGCCTTTTAGCAGGAAAAGCCAGTGATTCATGAACAAAATAAATATAGGCTTCAGTGTGTACCAAAGAGAAAATTACTTGTGGGATGCTGAAGTGGGAGGGAAGGAGATGACAAGGAAAATTATAAGCAGCAACAACCCTGCCTCTTACAATCACTACAATTCTAAATTCCAGTACTAGGTATTTTCCACTACAACTCAGAAAATCATAGGTAGCATTTGGGTTATTATTCAGCACCTCTCCAGCATGTACTAGTGCGTGCGTGCATGCGTGGGTGTGTGTGTGTGTGTGTGTGTGTGTGTGTGTGTGTGTGTTCTAGTATTTACAGTATATAGACATTCAAATATCCTTCCTGAAAATGAACCATGAAATGTGAAATGTCTACATACATTTTGCATTCCCATGTATTACAGGTCTGGTATTATTAATTTAAAAATCTATATACAAAATGTTTCTACATCTAAAAATA